GCCATCACTTTTTCATGCCCAATTCCCATCTTCTTTCAGGCCTGCAACTAAAACACTGGGATCCAATGTGGACTTAGTGACCTGTTTCCAGTGCGAATACAGAATCACTTTCTTTTTTTTTTCTTTTTTTTAAAGAGTATCTTTCCTTCAGAAGATGTTGCCCTCCCTTCTTTAATCTTCTGTTTGAAATTATGTTGTCTTCTAAAGAAGTTTATGTGTGCGTGTGTATATAACCGTGACATTCAACTTTATTTTCTGACTCTCAAAATAACCTGTAAAGTCTTCCTCACCTCTGAGTTAATAAAATCCATGCACAGGGTTGTTTTTAGTCTTTAAAACTGTAGTTTCTGTCCCATCCCTCCCCCTTCCTGCCTGGAGAGTGGACCAAAAGTTGAATGAACGTATAGCGAGAGGAAGCTTCTTAAAATTAAGTTCTTCTCCTAAACCTCCGATCATAAACCGGGCTTTAACCTCCCTTCAGATGCATCCTTTCAACGTGCCAGAAATCTACAGATCAATACAAAAGGTCAAAGATTTTTTTTAAAAAAAAAAAACAACTTTAGAACTCCCTTGGGTTTTTGCCTATTTCTTGATTCTTCCCTGACGAGTGTATCAATGATATATCCAAATGAATACTGATCCTGATCATTATCCACATCATCAGTCTGACAAAGGAGATGTCTACAGATTACTTTTGATTTCTGAAAAGCTGTATTTTTCAAAACACCTCATTTTTTTCAATTTTTTTTTTTTTTTCCCTGGATTCAGCACTGATAAGAGCAGTCTGTTTATAAACACTCCAGTCTGGAGAATTCCAGCAGAAATGGTCAATACCCAAAGAATTAGCCAGAATCATCCACTTTCAAAGAACAACAGTAGGTTTGACTTGTGTTATTCATTCTGACTCCATACTTCAGAGGCTGTACTGCTTTCAACTGCTACTAATGATGTGTAACTTTTAGAGGTACCTGCATGATAGATTGCTCCAACCATCATTTGGGGAAATAGAGACCAATCCTTAGTGCTGGAGCATTTTTGCATCAATAACCTGAGAGGACCAGAGGCTATACTCTTCCAGATCAGGGTCTTTGTCTTCAAAAAAATTAGAACAATTATTTTTCATCAAAAGATATCAATAATAACAATTGATATATCATTCGGGAATTAATTTGTGGATCCATTTGCTGAAGAGGTAAATCTTTAAAGAGGTAATTTGTTAAAGAGGTTTACAGCAAGAGGAATGAGTGGAGAGCACAAAAGATTAATTTGTGAGACACCGGCATGAAAACTAGGGATGAGCACAGGAAGGCGACAAATCCATGTACAGGGGATAGGATGAGTAAAGTGAGAGTAGTAGTTACTTTTCTTTGGGGATGGCATGACTATGGAAAAGTTCCCAGCTATAAATACACCAACAAAAGCTACACGCAATGCTTGGCTAATTCATCCCATCCTTTGTTCATGCTACTAATTTGGATTTCTCCATCACTTTTTATCTCTGGCTGCTATAAATCTTTCACACCAGCGTAAGTGCCCCATGACTAACATAGTTTCTATGTTGTTATTCTGTCCTCTGAACTATTTCAATTGTTTTTAATACAGACTCCCATATATATAGGTGGTACGACCCTCATTCACTGAAGTACCCCTTTGAAAAAATAGCTCGGCACCGATCCAGCTTAGCTTCCTGGGGATTCTACCGGCACAGCAGGATCCCCAGATGTTGCTAGGATGGACATTTGCTCCCGTGTCTTGCCATCTGGCTGCTGCTTGGTTGTGGCTGGAAGATGCGCATCGTTGGAGCATAATGGCACCCAAGAGGTGGTGTTGGCAACAGAACAGCGGTTGGAGAAGCCTCATGTTGGGCAAGTCGGGGGGTTTGCTTTCAGTTTTGAGGGGGGAGTGTTGCATTGGGATACGAATTAGAATAACCATAAATCTGCACTTGTCAGTGCTCGTGGTAGAGCCTTGGCCCAGTGGCTAAAGAGTAGATCCCCTCTTTCCCAAACAGACTGAGAGCAATTAGTGTCATGCTGTCACAGTTTACTTGCCCTCTCCACACTACGACCTGAATAACTTGCCCTGATCGTTCACCTCCATAAGCAGTTCTGGGAAGAAGCTAGATGAGCTTTCCTTTGGGGTGAAATGAAAACCACACCTGTCTTTTTTAGTCTTAATGCTTTCTTCAATCTGTTCAGGCAGAACCAAATGTCTGGTTTAGTGTTTCTGTATGTGTCAGACACGGATGTGCTTTGTTACACGTGTGAATATTTATGCTTACAAGTATTTTGTACCTTTAAGTGTTTTTTTTTTTTTTTTTTTTTTTTTTTTACTTTTTTACCCCTCACTCGTGTAATAACACCACTTCCTAAACCCTGTCCTTTTCCTAGATATTGACCACATCATCTCTGGGCGCTACTCCACTAATAAAACAAATAAAGACATGTGGAATATGGGATCCTTTATAGACCTGCATGGAACTCATCTGGCTCAGCTGGCAGGGGTCATGTAAACCTCCTCCATCCGTTAGAGTTTGTGTGGTTTCACACCCAACAAATGTCAAAGCAGAACTCAGCTGCAACTGCCAAGTTTTGTCTGTGTTTGGGTTAAGCCATAAAAGAACCCACCGAATTCCACATCAGTCATTTCAGAGTTGTAAGAAACCACCCAGGTTCGGTGAAGAGGTCAAGAATCCGGTGATCATTTTGGCAAACACAGATCAAGAAAACCCTGTTTTTACAAACTTGGTATAGTCTGACCAACCCGATAGCTGGTCCATCCTGATGCCAAACAATTTTTGTTCCTTGTGGCTCTTATTTTGTTTAGAAATGTTGGGAACGAAGGCACAGGCACAACTTGTAGTCCTCTAGGCATTTGGACTGTGCTCACTTCCAAGATTTCTGCGGATGGAAGGAGTCTCTGGTGAAGAGGATTATCACTCATGAGTACCAGGATGGAGCTGATGAGGTGCCACAAGATTTTCAGCTTGAAGCAGAAAGCAGGAGTGGTGAAAGCCACAGGAAGCTTAGTGATGACACCACCTCTGGTACAACCATCCAGAGAGTGTCTCTTCAAGGACATAAGCGATCTCACAGAAGTTAAGAGGACTTATTTATCTAAGGGTCAGAGCATGCCTGCAAGCTTTGGCAGATCAAGACAACATAGCACAAAGAAGTACCACGGTGGCATGCTTGGTAGCTGTATATTTTCTGGCAGCGACCTCATTTTGGACATCAACTTCACGCAAACAAGCACAAGACCAACCAAGGAGGACCAGACCTGTGATTCTAATAGCCAAGGCAAGTGACTAGGTGTTTTTCTGGTTCATTTAAAGCTGAAGATAAAAGTCAAATGTTCGGTTATTTCCTGTATATGGTGTCTTGATAACGTTTAATGCCTTCTACTTACACTCTTTTTAAGAAACAAAAGTTAGGCAAGAAGTTTTACCTAAAGAGAATTAGAAATATCTTAGAACAAACGTAGGAAGAGACACCAAGCAACTTCCTCACCAGCAGCTTTTCAGCATCAAACCCAATTTCTACCAAATTTTTTTCTAAAGTTCAAAAATTTCAGGCTTTTCTTTTGCCATCGATTTGTTTTACTGAGTCTTTTTATTACTAGTTTTAGCCCTCTCCACTTCTGTGATCTGGTGTGGAGTAATGCTCACAGGAGGACAGGGTCTTTGCAGGTGTAAGTCAGTTCCCTGATGCCAACGGATTTACTCAATTACAGCACTTCACAGCTGGGCCACTGTGCCCTTAAAAAGCCCAGACCTCAGCCAGACTCTCAGGCTTGCATGTCTTCTGAAAAAATATTCAGTTCCATTGTTGACTTAAGCATACCTCAGCTTTTGGTGTTCATTTCACAAGGGTGTTGGGAATAAAAAATAATAATAACAAAAAAAACCCAACCCAAAGCCTTGATCTCTAGTAACAACCAAAGCACCATATAAGTCGTTTCCTCTTTGCACAGATGGGATGCAATGTCTTTTTTCCACGCAGCTTTAACGAGAGCATTTGTCTGACCACATTCAGTTGTGTTGGAGGCACAAGACTCACCCAAAGCAATGAATCCAAGAAAGAGGTGGCACCCAAAGAAGAACCGGGCACAAGAAGAACAGGCTACAACCCCACCGAGAAGCTGGATGGTATCACTGAGTGTCCTTGGGAGAGCCACACACTGCAAAAGCTTATCCCAGCACTGAGCAGCAAACACTAGAGGGGATGGTAAGTGGGCAGCTCTTGGGGGAGAGGGAGAAGGTCAGGAATGGGCTAAGGATGCTTGAGCTGTGTGATGAGGAAAATAATGGTCTCAGTGCTGGAAAAAAAATGGCATGATGTCCCCTCTAAAATAATATCAGATGTAGGGTAAATGGAAAGTGATCCATTTAACTTCTGTCAGCTAACAGCTTGTCAGGCCAAGGTCCTGTGTTATTTTCTTTGAGTTTGTTTCCTGCCTCAAATCATTTGCAGTATTTTCTTTACAGTGCAGTAGCAACACCAAACCAGCTCTGTGTCCCTGTCATATATTGGAAGGCCAGTGTCGGAGGCACGATACTTCCACCAGTTAATTGAGACTCTCCCATTACTTAAGCTCGTGAGAAGTCTGCAGAGGGATGTTTTTGGAGCTGTTTTTTAGTTCCTTTTTGATTGGCCATAATATGCACCGCAGTGATCATGGCAAGCTCTAACAGGACGACAACTAGAAATACTTTTGCATGGGGTGTGATGACTCTGCCCTCGGGTGCCTGTGCAGGCATCTGGGTCATTGGTGGTGTATGAAGTCACACAGCTTCATCCCGAGATCATGGGAGATTTCGTGTCTCAGTTACTTTTCAACCAATGAAAACACACAGAGCACGGTTGTGGTGGGAGCATCACTGTTGAACTCCGGTAGGCAAACACCAGAGGGTTATAAACCTTCACAGGACAACAGTGAGAAATCGAAAAGAAAACCAGCCCCAACGTATCGCTTCAGGACCGTATTAGAGACACCCTTACCTACTCGAAGCTCTTGTCCAAAGACTGTTTTCTCTCCCAGCGCGGAGCAGTTCCACCTCCCGTACCGAAACTGGTACTGGCACTCATTGATTCCCATTTGTGCCCCTTCCCCGATCACAATGATGGCATCAGGGCGGCTCTGGCAGATCGCTCGCTGCCGAGGGGCCAGGCCTGGGATTTTGTTGCAGATGATATTAGCTCCTAAAGCCACCACGGATGACAAAAAAAAAAAAAAAAAAAAAAAAAAGCAGAAAGACACGTTATAACCAAATTGAGGCCATTAATTGTTTTGCCACGTGCTGCCACGCAGGCACTGGGCAAAAGGGGAAAGGTTGGAAGTTGGGTTCCTGTAATTTATGACAACTTATCCCAACCTCTCTGGTCTGCTAAAAGAGGTTGGAAATCTTGCAGTAATTGCTGATCTGATTTGTGCCAGAAACAACAAAGAAATGGAATTTTGGCACTTCGGCTTCCAGTCCTACACAGAGCCATCAGCTGATGCGATGTGAAAAGCAGGACCTAGTTAACAGTGACCATTGATTGTCCACAAATCTCTGAAACTCATGTCTGCTTTGAATGGCCTATGTGGATTCAGGCTCAGTCTTTTAGTTACTGCAGCCAGTTCATCCATCCCTCATTTGAAACCGTTAAGCACAATTTAGAGAGAGACTTGACGCTACCAACCCTCTCATCCATTATTACCCTCAGGGTATTGAGTGATTAATGAAAGTTCACCAGCGTATCTGTGCTTTTAGATCTGGCAAATATCATGGAGCACATTGGAGTGATCCTTAATATGTGCCATCCAGACTAGAAACATTTGTAGTCCTTATTCTTCAAGTGTATTTTCAGAATCTATTATAAAGTTTGCTCATAACTTGCACCTGCCATGTGTTTCCACTTTAGTGCGTTTATTTTTCATTTTTCAGCTCGCTTTTCAACATCTTTACAGGCTCATTTTTCAACATCTTTACAGGCTGCATGTTAAGTGGTAATATTTTGAAAAAAAAAAAAAAAGAGACAACATGAGTAACACGTTCAGTGATGCCTCGAGTCACATCTACCGAGCACCAGCCAGGCCCGCGCCAGGTTGTTTCCACTGGCTCTGGACAAGTCAGCAGGAGCAAAGAGAGCAGTTAGCAAAGCCAGCCTTGCTCGGCGTGGTGTCATGGCCCCGAAAAAAGCCCCTGCCACGCTGCCCAGCTCCCTGTCCTGCTCCTCCGCTGGCAAACCGGGGTGCCGAGAGCCCCGCTGCTTCTCAGCACTGCAAGGAAGGATCTCCACAAACCATCTCCCCTCCTTAGCTTGTCCCAGCTTAGTATTGGATCATACAGGCAATTTATTTCTTTTTTTTTATTTTTTCCCCATCAAATGCTGTTGTTGGCTGCCCCTGTAACGTAAAGGTGCTTGCCCAGATCATGCTGCAGCACCCTGGGTTTAAGTGAGGTTTTGCAGCAACACAAGTCACCGGATATAAATAGATCAGTAACAGGACAGACTGATTCCCCCATTACCTTCCTCTCCACCTTGAACACTGACTTAAGCCTTTCTCAGTGTTAAAAATTTCCCCCCGGCAATGCTCCTTTTGGAAAATGCTGACTAAAGATAATTGAAGGATTTTACAGGAGTTTATCAGCTTCGGCGCAAAGGTAACACCAAAATCACATAAACGTTGCATTTCAACAAAATCAGAGTGTTTCATTTCGCCATTTCAATAAACTGCAGTAAAGCCAGAGCAAAAAGGGTGACATGGAGAAGTCTTCCCTGGCCAAAATGAAATACCACTTTTACTGTGGAATGGAAATTCCATGATGATTCACCCTGCCTTTAATAGTTATTTGTGCATCTTTTCCAAAGTTAACAATCCATGAGAAATTTGCCAGTTGTAATTTATTTTTTATTTATTTATTTTTATTTATGGCTTGGGGGGGGTGTTTGTAGATATAGAGAGAAGGTATTACAAACACAGAGCATGCACGCCATGTGGTACTACTACCTATTAAACAAAAATAAGAACAAAATGTGGTTGCGGCTCCGACCACTCACAGTGTTTGGAGCCGGAGCACTCAGACCTGTAGCTTTGATTCATGTTTTTTTGGTACTGAGCAACAAAGCTGGAACATCAATTGCAACCAGCAAGTCTCCAAGATTCATGCAGGTTTTGAGCTAAGGTTTTGTTTCTGGTCCAGCACTACTTAAACAACTGAATAAAATATTTAAATTATGATGTCTTTAAAGCAGGACTTTCCAAGAGGTATGTTTCAAAAAAAACATTGTGAGTTTGATGTACAGATAATAAGATTCTCTGACCTTTACCATGGTACTTAAGATATTAATTTGTGGATTCAAAAGTTAATGATAATCACAAGGGAAAGTATTAATATTTCTTTTTTTAAAAAAAAACTCAGGCACTTCTCAACACCCAAATGTTAAAGCGTTGTTTTCTTTCATAGCTCAGGGAGATTTTATCTCTCTGACTTCAGCAACTTTCCACATCGAGTAGGATGCACATTCTGAGAATGTTGCAGTAAGATGGAAAGAAAAGCATTTTTACTTTACAACTGACGTGTTGCAGTCAGAAACATGCACTCTCTGATGACTCCAAAATGCCAGCACCCTTTCCCAAATCAAGTTAAGATCCAGGTCTGGCCCTTCCGTGGTTTTAAAGCTGTGTCAAGGGACAGGTATCTTGCACAGAGTAAGTACCCTTCCAGGAAAACCTAATCCTGAGGGAATCCAGGGTTGGGTCCTAAGAACAGGCGTGCACAAGCATTCAGAATTTATGCTGATGCTTGATACGTGTGCACAAGACATGCAGTTCTGCTCCCCCGGCTGCCCAACACTCATTTACTTACTGAGGCCACGCAACTCACCTCCTGATAAAAATTATATATACAAATTATTTGTACATGGTTTCTATTTTAATTAAAAATACTGATGAAAGCTATGAGCTAACTTTCTGATTTTTTTTTTTTTTTTGAAGAGCTGAGCCCCCACAGCTTCCACTAACTATTATCTCGAGTTGAGCAGCAAAAGCACGACTTTCAAAACAAAGGAAAGCAAGAAAGGTTTGGCTACAGTAATCTACCCCACGTATAATTTTCAGTTTAGTTGCTTCCTCCATACACACTGCTACTGTCTCATAATTAGGTTAAAGAGTGTATCCTTTGGTCTCCCATTGTTTTTGGAGCAGGCCCTCGGTCAAAGTATTTTAATACAGCGGGTCAGTTTATTTATCCAGACAATAAGCACGATCATATCTGCCTCAGAAGGTTTTGCGAGGATATCCTCATTATTATGTGTTTGTAAAGTGCTTTAAGACATTTCTCATTAGAAGAATTAAACTGCAATTATTGGGGGTGGAGGAGATCTTAGTTTTTTTTTATTATTACTTCCAGGGACTTCCCCCTCTCTGGCCTGAATTTACCAGCATATTCCCTCAGACTTGTTTAACCTACTTTTAAATTGTTACTATAATTTCAGTGCCAAAAGAAATGCTGAATCATGAAACTGAGGTTTTGGAAAACTTTATTTATATTAAAGAAATGCACCCAACAGCATTTCAAGCTTCCTCTCTGCTATTTCTTGCGGCGTCCCTCAGTTTGTGCATCTGTCACACATTCAGGAGGGTTGTGCCACTCTCCTGCCCCTTGGCAGGTTGAAGGCTACTGGTTTTTTTAAAAAAAAAACATTTTTTTTTAACTAGATGGAAAATGTTTCACTTTATAACTGTCAAAAGGCAGATTCCCCATGCCACATTTTGGCATGTTCTCCCATCTAATCTTTCGCTGTCGTGCAAACTTCTTTGATTCTTATCACAAATCCTGAGCGTAGCATTTTGTTAAGATTTCTGGGGCCGTTTACAGTAATTGAAACCATCCCACACCACGACAGCCTGCACATGCTTCAGAGTTTTAAGTTGGGTCATCCACGTGGGTTATCCAATTAAACATCATCCACGTGGGTTATCCATCTAAAAAGTGTTAGTGGAATAGTGTCACATTTCCTATGCAATTAACAGTAGTGGCTGGCGTATGGAGAGTCTTCACGTTTTTCCATCACTCAGTCATTAACCCAAGGGAAGCACCAGCACTGACACCGAGCAGTAGTTATAAACAGTTACATCCAAGCTAAAATAACACTGGTCTGGGCTTGGATAGGACCTTGCAGTTCAAACTTCCAACAAACTAAACCTGAGGAGCAATATTTTGGAAGGACGGATTTCGGCATCAGAATTCTGAAACATCACGGTTTTTATTCTTTGAAAAAAAAAATAACTACGACTGCAGTCACAGCAAGCAAAAGTTCATGGCAGTGGGAGGCAAGTTTCAGCTGTTTTCTGAAATAATGCTTAATTATGCAAAGACGGATGACTACTGTCGCAAAAAAATGAAAATTCTCCCTCAAAACATATTTCCTACTGTCGTTGTGTCTTCTCTCTGGGACCTAAACAGCTACAGCTTCCCTTTTCACAAAATTATGTGAAAAAAACCTGAAAGATCGCAACCACAAAAACTATTATGTATTCCAAGCACTTAATAAAAGTAAGGGTCTTTGAAAACACTTCCAAAATTAAACACTAAGGCCTGAGTTTTAAGAACATAAAATTTAATGCAGTATTGCTTGTCAGAAGAGGAATATACTTCTCGTTCATAATTTGCTTACTTGAGTTTCTATTTTGTGGGCGTTTGCTTAACTTAATCACATTAGTCATTTCATTGATTTCAAATGCGATTATGTTCCTGAAACTTCAGATGGATTTCACATAGAGGAAGGTCGTCACTTGAACTGTAGTTTATAGGGGGTCTTAGAGCCTTTAAATAAATAAAATAAATAATAAATAAAGAATAACTAAATAAATAACGAGTAAAATAAATACATAAATAAAGTAAATCCTTATAACAGACAGTTGTACAACCCTATGCGCTACATGAGGAAAATTCTGATCTTTACTGCTGTTAGAAGAATCTGAATTTTGACAAAAATGTTAAATAGAAGTAAGTACAGATAAATGGCAGTAACTAACCAGCCTTCAGAGTAGTCCCCAAGCTCCTGTAGAGGCAGAGATGTGTACTGAGATTTCTCCAAGGAGCTTAAAATTCAGTTCCGACAAATATATAACAAAAGAAGATGTAAAATGGAGGGATTAAACCAACAAACTTCATCCAGACAAAGCATTTAATAAAGTTGATTTTAACCTTTTGATTTTTTTTTATTT